ATACAGAAATACTTGTTAGTGTGCCGTCCTATGCTGATGTTAATGTTTCATCATGGGTAACTGATGAAGGTCTTAATTATATTGATAGTGGTATTGCATATGATGTTACTCTTGATGATATGCATCAATTTTCATTAATGGATTCACAACCTATAAGAAATTATCTCAGTTTTGTATCACGTATGGCTCATCTTTTTCATAGTTTTAATCGTGTTGCTTATGAAACACTTCTTCCACAACTTCGTAAAAAATCTGGTACACCTCGTGTAATTATATTTGATTTAAATATGTTATGGGCAATTGATTTAGCTGAACAACTTGGTTCCATACCAGCTATTGTTGTTTGTCCATTTCTTATTGATGCACTCGATTTACCAAGTATGACACCACATTGGCATACACCATCGTACATTGTTCCTTATTCACCATCGACTTTTTTTGGTCGTATTCAATTATTTTTTTATCGTTCAATAATAATACCATATCAAAAATATTTTATATTTTCTCATATTTATCAACGAAAATTTGATTATGAATATTTAATTAAAAAACATTATCTTAGTGTATTTGTTAGTACAGCACCGCCATTTGAAATTCCACGTTCAGTTATTAATCCTGCTATTCATTTCTTAGGTCCATTTGTATATGAATATCGTTTACAACCAATTCATCATAATTTACTTTTATGGCTTAATGATATTGTTCAACAAAATGATACGCTTATTTATATAAGTTTAGGTTCAATTGGTCTTCTTACACAAGAACAATCAAATAAACTTATTTATGCATTTATGAAATTAATAGAGACAAAAACTTCTTCTCAAATACGTATTTTATGGGCTCGTGGCAATACTTTAAAAAGTAATGATAGTCGATTTCGTCTTGAAGGTTTCGTACCACAAAAAACCATCTTATCACATCCAGCTATGCAACAAGAACGTTCAATTTATATAAATCATTGTGGTATGAGTTCAATGCATGAATCAATTGTATTTGGTATTCCACAAATTGCATTTCCACTTTTTCTTGATCAATATCAAGTTGCTAAACGTAGTGTACAATTACATATGGGTTTATATATTGATAAAAATAATTTTACATCAAATGAATTAATTGAAAAAATTCTTCTAATTTTAAATAATCCACATATATATCGTCGTAATACAAAAAAAATAGCAGATTCATTTCGTATATATGGTAATGGTTTAAAACGTGCTCAAAATATCATTGAATATATGAGTAAATATGGACGTGATATACAAAAACAAATAGTATCTTATGATAGTCAGATGAACTGGATTGAAAAATATTCATTAGATATTCTCATTTGTTTTCTCTTGTTTATTTTTATTATGTTTATATTAATACGAATAACATGGAAAATATTAATATTAATTCGAAAAGAAAAAAAAGAATAAACAAATAAATAAATGAAAATTTCTTCATGTTTTTTTTTACTCCGATTCTGAATTATTTGCAGGCAACTATTCAATATTATACCATAGTTTCTCATTTTTTTTTTAACAAAAAGACAAAATAAAAAACAGACTTATTTGAGAAAAAGTCTCAGCCTGGATCAAAATTCATATGATGATTTACGCTTGTCATATTTTGTTTTCGTACATGTTGTTCATTGTTTTGTTCTTCATGAACATTTATCAT